TTTTGAACTTTGTTATCGAATAGTATATGGAGAACAAGTTTTATACTGTAGATAGACAAATATAAATCAAAATTTTAGATATTAATAAATAGGTATCGTAGGAAATTTGGACAATCAAAATAACTAGAACTTCGTTTTGATTAATTTAGTTAAATTCTAGTTCTTTTGAATGTCCAAATTTCCTCTGATACCTATTTATTAATAATTTTATTTTTGTACGAGAGAAACAACTAATTGAATTATAGATATTGTTTCATGAAAATATACAATTATTCTTTTCTGTTAAATAATTCGAAAATTCCTTTAATTCCAATTTGAACTTAGTATCGTATTTAAATTATAATATTGGTTCGCTTTGAAAAAAAAAGAAATAAATTTCGAAAATCAACGATTAAAAGAGATATATATATTTTTTTAGATGAAAATAGATAAAAATATAGATAGAAATAAGTTCGTTCTCGATAGATCGGAACTTGTAGTATGCTATGGACAACAAACTGGAGCACGTCTCTTGGAACGACGAAGCAGCCAAGGTAAGTCGTGGTAATTGTATAACCGGCTTCCGAGAAACGGAACGCGTGTCGCTATACAGGGTGTTAAAAAAAAGGGTTCAAGACTTAAAGAGCAAACAGTTCTAATTAAGATATAGATGGCATAATTATCCAATTAACTTTGACCCAAGAGTATTCATTGAAAAGAAAATTAAATTCATGATGATAAAATCCTATAAAGAATATAAAAGACAAGAAGGTGAAGAAGGAAGAGGAGGAGGACGAGGAGGAAGAGGAGAAGGAGGAGGAGGAGGAGGATTTCTCGAGTTGGTTAGAGATAGATTGATCGGATTAAATCAGGATTTCCATCATCGATTTCTATCATCACGTATAATTGGAACTACCGTAAACGACGTCAACTTCGATAATTAAGGTTAACGTTGGGGAATCGTAAAAGAAAAAAAAGAAAAAAAAAAGATCGGTGCTTTTAACAATTGTACACGACGTTTATTTGCTCTCCTTTATTCTCCTATTTTTGTTACTTTAACGAGAATTTCGAAAATATAATAGAAACTAGATATCTAGACTAATAAACACTAGTCTAGATTGAAACAGTTTTGTTGAGTGTTCAAATATAACGGATCAAGACATAACGAAGTGTAGATGTATAGTGTTTTGAATATTATACAAAAAAATGTATATCTGCTTAAATAAAAAAGACGCTAAACTTCAGAGATTAAAGTAACATCTAATATTTTATAATGTATGGGTCTCATGTATTTCGTAATATAAAAATAACAATAAAATAAAATTTCCAGTTGCTGAATAAATCCCAATACAATAAAGGAACGAAACGTCCAACTTATCAAAACGAAGTTCTATTTCTTTTCAATGTCCTAATTCCTTAAGATACCTTTTTATTAATTTAATTTATCGATAATCTTGTCCAGAACTATAATATTAAAATATGTATCACAGGGAATTTGGACGGTTATTAAATCTTTATGAACGATTTATTTCGAACAAGTTGAACGCTTCTTATTAACGCTTTTTATTAATAATTATATATTTTTGGACGAGAGAAACAATTAATTGTATAATAGAAACGATTCGAGATTAAATAAAAGAAGAACTAGTAGAAGTAGAAGTAGAAGTAACGTTAAAAAAAGTAAAGTTTACAAGTTGGTATAGTTAAACTTCTTCGAGTGAAAATAAAGAAAAGAATCTAAGAGGAGAGGAATGAAGAAGAATGAAGAATGAAGAAGTAGTACTATGTCCAAATAAGTTGGTAAAGAGAGGGTACGAGTAACGAGGCATATAATAACCCTTGGTGACGTTCGGAACAAACAGCCATCTGTAGGTAATGCCCCTATGGCGAGTAACGCCCCGAAAACTACACCCCGTCAAGAAAATTACAATGACAATGAATGAAATCCGATCCGCCCGGCGGGCACGTACTCTTTTTCTTTCTCTTTCTTTTTCTTTTTATTTCTTTTTTATTTCTCGCATCTTTCTCTCTCTTTCTGTCTCTTTACGTTTCTCTCTCTTTTACCGGCTATTCTATCAACACCGGGTACTTTTCTGCCATTGTGTTGCCCATTGGAGAAAAGTAAAGAACCTATAACACGCCTAGGGTTGTTATATACCCCGTGTACGAAGTAGGTATATTTCTGAATCGTTCTACCATTTCCAAAGTTTGACGTTTTATTCCTTTATATGAAAGAAAGGTAGAATCGGAGAAGCAACGAGCATGGCCAAATCGTACGATTGTGTTTTTCAGGAAGTTTATCTCGCCTCGTAACATTCTTTATTTATCTTTTATCTCGAATATAATACCAAACTCTTGTGTCAGTTCTTTTTTCAAATTGACAATATAAACTCTGTTAAGTATTATACGTTTTATTTTCTTTTTTTTTTTTTTTTTCCATTTCTCTGTTCATTTTCAGCCTGAGAACGTTCACTTTCTCTCAACCGAGTCCAATTTGCATTCTATCTAAAAAAAAAAAAAAAAGGAAACCGAATTTTGTTTTAATATATAATTTGTATTTATTTTCTATCATTATAATTATTATACGTTTTTTTTTTTTTTTTTTTTTTTTTTTTTAATCTCGTTGTTTAAGATTAAAAACGATGTAACCCCCTATCCCCTACCTTCCCCCACCCTTGGCTCCTCCTTGTTCAAATAATTTACCCGATTGTTTAATCAGTTATTTCTCTCGCCTAAAAATAAAATTCTTAATGAGAAGGTATCACAGGGAACTTGGACATAAAAAAAAAAGTAGAACTTAATTTAACTTATTTTAACTGAGTTTAAATTTAACTTAGTTAAATTAAGTTCTACTTCTTTTTTATGTCCAAGTTCCCTGTGATACCTTCTCGTTTAACCAATTGGTTTTTCTTTTTACCCCGTTTATATTTTCTTTGATAAATCACTAATGCAATAGAATTAACCCTAAATCTAAATAGTCGCGAAAATTCCGAAAATTTAATCGATAAATCAGTGAGGGGGGGGCGGGGGGAGATTTTCTTTCCGAGTATGGTCAAAGAGAAAAAAAAAAGAGAAACGGGTTAATTAATTGCAGAATTTTGAGAAATTGATTATTAACGGAGCTGTGATGAAAATATAGGGCGGTGATCGATAAATAGATGGATCGATCGATCGATCGTTCGAATGATCGAATCGAGTGAAGGAACAACCGATCAATCGAATAGAAACGGGCCCGCGTGTGCGTGACACTTTCGTAAGAAAGTAATGTCATTGGCCGAGATTCGTTCGTTCATTTGAACATTCGTTTCTTTGATCTTCCTTTACCATGTTGCAAATTTGACGTGACAAGTTACACGGATAGTTGATTACTCATTTACATATACGCGTTGAATTTTAAAAAATATCATTAACACCAAAGCTCAGATATGCGTTCTAATATTATTTGTATAAGAACGAAACATTAAGGTATTTAACTATAACCAATTTTCTATACTTTCGTTTTTTGAATAATTCTAGGGGTTTAAAAATATTTTGTAGTGAAACTTTTTAAACGAATTTTGAACGAGATTATGGAAGGATATATTTTGTTCTCAGTGTGGTTGAGAGTTTCAAATTGTAACGATCGAATATTTAACGAAGTTTAGATGTTTTGTGTTTGGAATATTAATAAAAAGAAAAATGTATGTCTACATAATAAAAAAAGACGCTGAACTGTAAAATTAAGTTGCTGAAGAAGTCCCAATAAAGTTAAACTTAATTAAATTAAGTTCTACTTCTTTTTATGTCCAAGTTCCCTGTGATTCCGTATTAAGAATTATAATTTTGGACGAGAGAAATAACTAATCAGATATATTTTGTATTAGTCATTATCAATTAATGAAACATATACAATTTTTATATAATATAATATAATAATATTTTATGTATAAGAAGAAAAAAATGCAGCGACATTTTGTTGATTGTACGATACAAATGGATTATGAATATTTTGTTGAATGAAAATTATGCAACGATTTGGTATTTAATTATTATCATCCAATTAAAATACGTATTCTAATATCTTATGTATATAGAACAAAACGCAGTTAATTTTCTGAACTTTTTCGAATGATTCAAATTGGGTTAAAAGAATCTAATGAAACGTTCAAGTTTCCTTATAACCGAGCGAGGTCTTTTGCTATTATTCCTGTACCAACCACATAGACATCTTCGTAAAGTTGGCTCGGACGATAACGGATAACTGGTCCAGGTGTTACGTAATTCGAAGTTATCGGTGAACCAGAACCATAATTGTTTGCTTTTATATCTGTCCGAGTTTTTTCTAACAAGTTCTTTCTTTCTTTCTTTTTTTCTAATAATTTTTTCTTTCATTATTCATGTCGACAATTCTCGCGATACGAAAATCGATATTTTTCATATACATAATTTGTTGTTCTATTTTTATATTAATTTTTTAATATCAGATTTTGGTATCTCTCTCTCTTTTTCTCTCTCTTTCGTTTCTACTTTTTTTTTCTTCTTTTCTCTTTTCTCGTACACTTCGAAACGGCTTTCTCGTCATATATTCTTTCTCATTGTATTCTTCAAATGTTCTAACAAGAGAAATAAATTTTAATTAAATACGACAGGAGAGACACATCGTAACGGTTAACTCACTTTATATTTCCGCATATATATATCATTGACTCTTTTATATCGGAATTATACGTAGAGAGATACTGTTACGTAGAGACTTATTATTCGTCTATCTTTTTATTCCTCTTTCTTTTTTTCCCTTCCTTTTTTCTTTTTCTTCTTTTTCTATTTTTATTTTTATTTTTTTTCGCACTACCTTTTTTTTTTCTTTTTTACATTCATTTAAATGAATTTATCGTAAATTTAATATTGTAGAATAAATTTTGGGCCGTGGTTTTACGTGGGACTACGAAATGTGATGTAATTTCATTTCCTTTGATGTATATACGTTTTATATAGATATATGTATATATTTATGTATGTATATATATATATATATGACTTACTTTTTAGAAGTGGTAAGTCGTTCATAAAACTTCCATCGTCCACGTTAGTGTTCTGTAATGAAATAAAAGAAAAGAAAGTTGTATTATTAATATAAAGTATGGATCTGTGTGTAAGATCTGTAGCAATTGAGAAAAAATAAGCTGACAATGAGAAAGAAAAACGAATCGTAAAAAAACCTTACGTAGATACACGTCTCAACGAGTTCTACCCTTTCTCTCTGAAATTCTGAGAATCAAAGTACCCAACATGGAAAAAGAACAAAAAAAATCACAAAGCAAAATAATACTTTCACTCGTTCAAAGCTTTTCAACGTGTTACACCGTTGTGTAAAACGTTCTTCTTCTTCTTCTTCTTCTTCTTATGATTCATTTACTCGCCAACAAAAATTTATTTGTAAGAGCAAACAAACAAAAAAAGAAAAATAATGAAAGAAATTACGAAGAAAGAGCAAGGAGATAAAAATGGTAAAAATGTAAATAAAAAAACTCGCAGATAAATTTACACATCTCTCTCTCTCTCTCTCTTTCTCTTTTTCACTTTTATCTCATAAATTGAAAAAGTTACGAGCCCGTGGTGCACACGATCTTAAATCTGTCAAAAATCAAGTTATAGGTCATCTTGACAAGTTAAGTTAAAAGTGTGCCCGTGCAACGGCCACCTGCTTCTCGTAAAGAACATTGAACGAAGGTAAATTTTCCGTTTTTCTTTCATACGTCATGTATACAAAAAAAAAAAAAAAAGAAACGGGGATGCACAGAGAAAAAGATTGAAAAAAGAGAAGGTAAAGATTAATAACATGTATTGAACAATTTAATTATTTTAGAACAAGTGTTGTTACCAAACCACTTGTACCAATATATGTATATTTATAAAAATGAAGTAATTTTTTTTAGAAATTTTAATCGATTTATTCATAAAAAAATTCAAAATGTTACGATGCTATTAATTATATAATAAATTGCATTGTATTTTATTTATCATAGGTGTTGATTATAGTTTATTTTATTATCAGAAATGAGGTTTACGTAAAACGTGTTAAAATGAAATAGTGGAAAAAAAAAAGGAAAGAAAAAAAAGATGTAGTACGAATTCGCAGGAAGGTAATAGAGAAAAATGTCTTGCGATTACGTACATCGTCGCTCACCTGGGGGTCGTCAACGAGGCTGGTGTGTAGAACGAGGTCGGTTTGGTCAAGGCCTGGGGGTGGTAGGAGGGCATCAGGACGACGTACTGCACCATATTCGACAGCCCTTCCGCCACCTCCACCACCTCCCCCGCCTCCTCCCCCACCGCCACCACCACCTCCGCCGCCACTACCACCACTGCGTCCGCCATCGTAAGGAAAGGATGCGTGCATGTTCGTCTGTAAAATTATAAAAAATTATAATCCTTTATATATATGATATTTTAGTAGTATAATATTGTGTTTTATAATTATACGAGAATTTGATTTTAGAATTCTAACGATATTTTATTTTTTATACGTTGTGTCTTAGAAATAGATAAATAAAACTAAATTATGATTTTTTAATAGAACTTTAAAATATTTTAGTTTCTATTATTCAAATTATTATAGGATGGTTGAAAAATTATTGGTACGTTGTTTTTATTAAATCTAATTTTAATGGTTCAATTTCTTTTTTTTTCTTATGTATATGTAGTTATATATCTTCATTATAATTTATACGAATGAAAATATTATATGCACTAATGTTATTTTAACTGGATTATTATGATAATGAAAAAATACTTTATTATAATTATGTTATAGTTTAAAAAAATGATCTATGCGATGAC